TTACCCAGTTACTACTACCACCCATACTAACACCCTTGGCACGCATGCTGAGCGGGAATACTTCGGAAGTAACAATCCACGCAACAGGTCCTGCAGTGGAACGATGGTTAGCAGAGTCTCTCACCTCCAAGAAATTTCCACATACCCCATGAGTAGGCGAAGTTGATGATGAAAATCCAAACAAAGACAATAGCCACCCAGCCGGCGGCAGTGTGCTCTTCGAATTTACCCTGATACGCGCCAATGATACCTGCGACAATGAAATGACAGGACGCCATTCCGATTGCGCCAGCAATCAAGATTTTCTTTCGTCCAATCTTGTCAACCCACAGAACGGCGGGAATGGTGAAGACAAACTCGAAAATTCCAACAACACCGGTAGCGAGTAGTGAGATTGTGTTGCCGCCTAGATGCATCTCCTTGAAGATGAATGGTCTGTAGGAGTGTCAGTAGGTGAACTCAGCAGGAAGCACATGGGATCAAATCATGGATCTTCCATATCTGCTGCTCTAAGACTGCATCTGCGGGAACTTACGCATAGTAGTTAATTGCGTTGATACCTAAGTGATAATGTCAGTGATGAATTCAATTTTTAAGATTTCACATATCATACCATTCCATTGTTGGAATACCATAATCATGCACTATTATATCATTAGAAATAATCGTGGGGTATCATGCACTTCAAAACGTACCGCCGTCGCCGTGCGCTTAAAGAGAGACTTGTCGGTGATCAATGACATGTAATCATGTAGTCCGACCTTGAAGCGGCTGGAAAACGAGTCATCCTGCCAGTCGGGATACTTCTCGGCAGCCGTCTCTCGTTCGAAGAGGTACAAACTCTTGATTTCAAGGAACTCAATGCGAACAAGCAGATCATCCGGAGGCGCGTTACGCAAGCGGGCCAGTGTTTGTAGGCATTCTTCCTCGCGGCCGGTGTTCATCAGATGACGGGGGGACTGTGGCATGAACATCATCATGCCCACAGCCAAGATCACAGCGGGCAGGATTTGAATACAGACTGGGACCAGCCATGCAGCATCCGATTGTGTTGCCCCGGTTCCGCCAATATAATTTGTTCCATAGCCAATCTGCAAACGTCAGGGTTGAGAGATTTCACGAGAATGGACACGACGTACCCAGAAGCTGACCATGATTCCAAAGGTGATGGCGAGTTGCTGCACAGCGACGAGCGAGCCACGAATCTCCGGTGGTGCCTTCCGCCTCCGTTAGCCTTTTTCCTTTTCGAACTTCCTGTTGAATTCACTCACCAACTCTGCATTATACAGCGGCACAACCATACTCAGACTACCAACACCCAGACCAGTCACGAATCGACCTCCGAAGACAAAGTCTTTGCTCTCCGTACAGGCTTGAACAATGACACCAACGCAGAATATCACCACGGCAACCAAAACAGTTAGGCGACGACCGAGCGCATCGGCAAGATATCCGTTTGCTAATGTCCCCACCCAAGCACCAAGTTCGAGGATGGACGTGAGCATTCCTTGCTTAATGCCCGTTTCTTTCGCGTAATCTTGAGTCTATGTGACAAAGTCCGTTAGCTGTGCAAAGCGGTGGGTTCAACGGACCAGAGACATACCGCTGCCTGGAACGCCGGCATTGTCAGAACCTGAGCAAACATTCCCTGGTTGTCTGGATAATCGCTATCAGTTTCTATTCACGGGTCATTACCATAGCGTCATTGACTTACATCCATAGACCAAACCTCCTAGTGACGCGAAAAGTCCGATACATGTTGTCTTCTTGTTACTGAGCAGGCCCTTGAACCCATTTTTGCCTGAAAGCTCAGCACGTTTGGCCGAGATGGCCGTCTCCCCCGCGAGAGGAGCCACCATTGTGTATTACGACAAAGACGGACAAGGATAAATGATACAGAAAAACTCAAGTTCCGGTGTGAACGAAAATAAAAAAGAGAATGGCAAATGTTGGGAGAAATGCCTGCACGTTCCTTACGTCTCGACGGGGGATCTGCGAGTATTTATTCCCTGGGGTACGGATAATGGGCTCAAAACGACCAGTTTTCCCCGGGGACTTAGCTCCATGGGGTGCATGGGGTACGTGATCAAGTTTGAAATCCGAAATCATGAGGTAATCGGCCCAATCAGCCCATTGTAACCAAGCTTCGTGGTGCATGGTCTCTCCTTCTCTTCAAGCCGTGTGGGCAGGTCTAATCGGCCGCCAGACGGGAAAGGCTCGACTAGCGTAGCTCTACAAGGCCGTCAGTGGCTGCAATAACATTGGGCCGTGCGTGGTTTCGAGAAGGATTTAACCGGTGCTCTTAGCCAAAGACCTCGAACTGGCTGGATAAAATGGAAGCAGAAGTCCACGGTATCGCAACCTAACACATTTCCCGCTAAAATTCCACGGTCTCAGCCAGGAAGTTTCTGAGTCGGCATCTGCCGCGAAAGAAATTCGGACCGGCTCCACCAGATGGAGACATTCCGGGGACCCCGCGCATTTCAAAATCTGGAGATTGATCAACCCTCACCATACAACTCTTATCCTCTTATTTTTAGTCTACTAGAAGTTTCATACAATGTACTTCCTCATGTCAAGATACCGCAAAGGCGAAATTCCCGCAAAATTCCCGAGGCAAAGGCTGTATCATTTAAGCTGAAGTCAACTTCCCCACATCCGAACTGCTATCCGAACCGGTTGAATTACTTTGATTTAGCCGGTTTAACCCCTGTCTTTATACCCGTTCACTACACCCTACCGTTTGATTCCTGTACGAATCGGCTTCGGGCGGATGGTTGTGCTGCCGATCACCAAAAAACCGAACGTCGAACCCCAGGATTAGCCTGCAATGATATATACATCGATGCATACCGGCACGTGGATAAAAGCGAAGTTCATATATTATGCCTTTCTCCAGTTCCCGGAATTGATCCAAAATTCTATGTTAGTAAATGTCTCGGCTTCTTGCCGGGGATATATCGGTCGCTTAGGAACCGTGAGAGGCCTAGACCTTGGCATAATAACACCCGAAGGCTAGCTGTATATTAAAGGTTTTCTAGATGCTTGAACTGACGGCTTTTCCATGATCTCACCTTCGGTCTTGTGGCCAACTCCGGCGATGTTAGGCGTTTGGCCTCGGCCCGTCCAGTCTAAAAATCCCGGTTCCCTTTGGTTCCACGATGTAGGTTTATATCAAAGGTTATAAATGGAAAGGCTGTTTTGTATATTCTCAGCCGTTTTCGCCTATATTCTAGCTACAATACCAATAAGCGGGAAATATCTATAAAAGTGACATCTAAAAAGACACCTAAAAACACGTCATGTAAGAGGCCAAGCCAACCCGTGGACTGTTCTTGCAAGTCATTAAAGTGGAATAGTATCTTTTAGTTCTCCATTATCGTACACAATCTCCAAATCTTTTCCTCTGAGCTGGAATCTTCACAAAAGAATTGCTAGCGCTCCTACCTCTTAGTTTTATATGTATAGATCCCAAACAAGTGCTGCGGCATTTACCAGCCCCATACAAACCTCGAAGATTGCAACCCGAGTCCAAGCACCGCCATTCCGATAAAATACAAAACCAGCCAAAAGACGACCAGGCAGCGAAGCAACCATAATCGGAATGTTGCGCTGGTAGCTCGCAATGGCGTAAATTGTCCCTGTCGAAAGAGACGTCACCCTGCGATATTTTGCGATAAGCATTTAGCATTAAGTCAGGTAAGATGTTCATAGCTTGCCCAATGCATCGAACTGTATGACTGGGTACTCCAGCCAGAGGAGACTCCGGGAGGTTCGACGCGACGGAAGGATATGCTAAGGTGTAGACGCCATTGGCCAGGAGAAAGGCGCCTTGGACGCCGAATAGGACACTTAACACGCCAGGTGTGCGGAGACCGATATTTTGCATTTCCATAATTCTTGATATTTCTTGGTTTTTGGTAAATTTTCTTCCAAACCAAAATGATCTTGTGTGTTTCAAGTGGGGAGGTTTTGCTTTTCGCTCCCCGGTTTCCTCCGACTAAACTTCTCCTTGACTCAACATGTTGTATGTCATTTGGTAGGTTTTGTGGCTAGTGAAACCTTTTCTTGGGCATTTTTCTAGACTGTAAATGTTTTTAAATTAGCCTATATCTGAGGGAAACGCATGGTCATTCCGAAAAGTCTGGGTTTGATGAAGACCTACATATATTTTTGTCAACATACCGCCCGAGAATTGAAGAGTGTTACGATTCTCATGGGTCATATTAGATTTAATTTATTTACTTAGTCGCATAAATGAATCAGCGAATGATTCCTTAACAATTACAGAAAGTTCAAGCTGGTCATCGGGGCGCCATGTTCAGTGGTGGCCAGGAGGTAAACCGGGCTCCCTTGCAAGCCAGGCCGTGCGGTTAATGAAAAAAGGAACTGTGGTTTTGTAAAATATCGGCTTTGAAGAAATACCACTAGGTCGACTAAACTCAAAGCAGAAGAGCCCATGTTTATAGCGCAATATATAGATAGAAAATGCTTCAATGGCGACCAGAAGACAGGAAGACGGCCAAGCAACTACTTATGGATCCGTGGCTAGATACCAAAACGTAAGAATACTTATATCGCTTTCTTTCATTGGGCTGCACAGGAACAATGAATTGCCACTGAGCTTAGATTCAAGAATACATGTCTCAATATTAATCCAATGGTATTCTGAAATTTCCGGTGGTGCTGTATTGATTTCCGAAGAAAGGGAAAGGTACCTCGTTAATTTAGTTAAAAAGTCACATATTGGAAAGCTCATTTGATCCGAAGGACAATGATATGGACCATGCAAACGACCTAAGTATCGAGTTAGCGAACCTCTTGTCTGTGAGATAGGGTTGAGCTCACTATTATCATGAGAATATCTATGAGAACGCCTAATAAAAGGACCACCCATGTAGAGCGATAACAATAGCAGATGGTGAATCCCAACATTGACACACTTGAGCTCTACCGACAATACACCCGAAAACAGCAAGCCACCCTCCAAAGGTGGCCGATTACGATCTTTTTCTCCATCGAGTCTGAGCCTCCACTGCTTTTTCAAGGCGTACATTGAAGTAACTCCGGATCAGCTCCTCTAGCTTCGCCTGGATACAAACCAACCGCATCTGGATATCAATTATTTGACCCTGGCTATCACTCGTATCCAGCGCCGCATCAAGGAGTCGAGTCTCCAGAACAACACGGGATTGACGATTAGCTTCAGCCCGCTTGCGCAGATATGAGCTCCACATATCCGATGCCTGATCCATGTCCCGATGAAAGATGCAGGGAAAGACGCGAAGCGAGTTGGCATGAGAATTCGCGAACCGGAGTCCTTTCCACTTATGCTCATGGCAGATCATGGCAGCTTCGTTGAGGAGCGCAGCGCCAACGCCGTAGCCACGGAAACCTTGTTGTACTGTCCATGCACGGATAAAGGCATCGTAGTTTTCGCCCGTTGGGAGAGTCGTCCCGTTGGTTGTTGGATGGAGCTGAATGCCGATGTATACGATGCTTATAATAAGCGTGCCGACAATGCAGCCCCCGAATCGATGAACAAGTACAAACGTAACTCCGTTATCTGAGTTGAATGCGGGGTCTTCCTGGGTCGTGGTAGGATCGACTTCTTTGCAAGGATCGTGCCCGTACAACCAGTTCAGTGTTCCAACCTTCTCAGCCTCGTTGTCATATTCCCCAACCAAGCGTGTGACAATGCCCAAAGTAGCCGATACCGCTGTTGCATAGATAACAGCAACGTAGGGCCAGCCAGATGGGTCATGGTAAATGGCGCCGACACTGTAAGCGAAACCCACCGCTACCAGAATTAGGGTGATAGGGTGGAGAATGAGGGATTTGGCGACGAGTGAGCGCTGCTCAGTCACTGAGACGGCTATGAGCTTCAGTGCGGACACGATTTCGAAGTCCTCAGTCGCTACATCAGTCGATTGTCCTGGAGGTGCGATAGGCTTGAACGTGTCCTGACTGGTACCTAGGCTCGTGTGACGGGCTTTTTTCTGGTTAACGGCGTCCTTTGAGTTTGTGGTAGTAGGGTCGTCTTTTGGACATGGGGAGGTGACCATGCGCGCCATGGTGAAGTGTGATACTGTAAGAGGGAACAATGGGTAGAGCTTAGAAGGTTTGTGAGGACATGGTGGGATGGACGCGTTTGCAGTGACAATGTTTCACATAGCAAACAACATCGATTGAGAGGGATCGTTATCAAGGCTACTGTATAATACAGAGTTCCATAATAACCTTGGAAGTACTGGAAGATTAATTGCTATCCATAGAGTAATTTCTACTCGGTACGATCCTCTCACATAATTAAGAATACTGCCAAGGCTCTCTAGTCCAGGCCAGTACCTGCATAGACCAATCCGAGCGTCAAATAACGAACTTTACCTCGAAGACTGTCTCGTGATGTTCCAGTTGTGTATTATCCTGGCCACTGCATTGACATAGATGAACTACATCTTAAGTACTACCATATAACTACAGTATTACAACCACGTGCAAACACACCAGCAATCTTATTATATTACTCTTTCTGTGCAATGATGCCACATACTCTGGTCCACAAAACAAGATGATGTTGTGATAAAGGCCGTAGTACACCATCCAAGGAACATAGACACAAGTTAGAATAAAGAGCATCAAACAGACTTTTCTCGACTTAGAGGGTACCGTGGATTAGAGCCCATTCTCGATGTACATTGTTCCTCAAATCGACAGACCTTCCGATTATGACAAGAGAGACCTACCAAGAGGGCCGCGTGGAAATGCATGGTCTAATGTGAGATTGATTGGTCAACACAAGGAAGAGGAATTATTAAGCGGACTTTGAAATGTTGGAGTGACCGCACGCCACCAGATAATGTAATATTGTGGAGTGGTAGGGACTGTTGTACTTAAAAGAGACTCAATTATGGAAGGTTTCAAAGCCAGTGTTGTGCACCTCAATAGATGAATGAGGATACTGCGATAAATGTGTACTAAAGAAGTAAGGATGCTCTTGAGTGACTTCTTGTTAGCGGGAAACTTTGCGGGTGGGAGAGGTACCTCTTGAGGACGAAGCATCTCAGGGCTGAACTTGCACAACCAAGTGCACTTAGACCCTTCACCTGAAAGTGCCCTCCCTAGGCTATAAACAGATATCTTAGCTTTTGCTATAATGTATCACTTCCAACATCAAGACTGCTGTAGTACGGGGCCTATACACAACACCTGAGTAGATCTTGCACATGTATATGTGTTTAAGAAGCCCTTGCGGTAAAACCAAGCCAGTTGTGTACAGAAGCATGAATAACAATGTGTGTAATCAGATGGGAGTACTCGATTGTAAAACTCAATTGTAAAACAAACTGATATTAAAAATTATATTGCAGGGAAACTCCAAGGTGGCGTCCTGGCGGTTAAAGACGGTCATTACCTATTCGCTGTCTATTCATTTTGGCTTTAAACCCTGCTTTATACCCACCGCTTCGTCTTCCACCGCATGATAAAGGCCGCGAAAGGATAGAAGGCTAAGGATACTGCAATCCAAATGAACAGAACAGCAAAGTCCAATCCAATGCGCGAATGGATATCGAAAATGATGGTTCGTATAGCTTCGACAACTAGGAAAGAAAGTTTAATTATCAGCAACAGAGCACCGTGACCACGGTGAGGGGGAACTTACTTCGATGTAACGGCCATGCGTACCCCCATCTATAGAATTTCGGAGCCAAATCAATGGGATAGAACCCTGTGGCAACATTCGTAATAACCCAAAAGATAAGGAAAAAAGAACTCCATGGGAACCCAAGAACCATGGCCATGTTCTCACAGGGGAATCCTAAAGCAGCCATACCAACCCAGTTCAGCATCCAAAACACGACAAATGAGCCACGACCATAGGCATTGGGATTATTTGCGGGCAGGATATCTGACGTAGAGTCGTTGCTAAATGGGATCTTGAAAGCTATAGACACGAGTGAGTAACACAGCGAAAGGAAAAAGTAGGCCACGATGCTCGAGAGAATGCGCCAAATAAGCCAATGCGGCACCTTCAGCGGCGGATGACCATCGGATTTCATGAATTGGGCATGAATCGGTAGCATAAATGGGAAGTTGAAGAAGGCAATAATAATCAGATAGATCAAGCCGATGGTCACGGCAGGAGAAGTGACAGCTGGGGCAAAAGGACGTAGATCGACGGTCGTGAACCCAATGCCCGGGTTGATCGCCTGTGGGGGCACGGATGACAGGTCGCTGACGGATGAGGTAAGAGACCGGACCCATTGTGTGCCAAACTCTGCTAGCACCATGCTTTGCAGTATGGCCAGGTCGGGTAAAATATAGGTGAAGTATGTTGTTTGATCACGCGCGGAGAGAATGACTGTCTCCATGGCACCCCTCGGGTCGTAGCTTGTATTGCCCTTGGAGACTGCATCCCGAAGCAGCGTTGTTGCGTTGGGCTTGATTATCACAGCGGCATAGGCATGTTCATCGTAAATGGCCTGACGCACTGCCAAAGGATCATCGTTAAAGTCGGCCGGGGATTTGATAATGTAGCCGAGGTGGAGGCCGTCAGACTGCAGGATTCTGTGGGTAGCATCCGTAACTGCTGAACCAACGATGGTGTCGTTGGAGCGGTATGGATCAACCTGGCCGTCGAAATCGACAACCCATACCTTCAACGCTGGGTAGTTGGTCTCGGTGGCGAATTGGGCTCCCCAGAAGAGAGATAGCACGCCGAACACGAAGACACACAAAATTAACACTGATGATCTCCGTTAGTATCCCTTGCATTCCGCGAGTTCCTAAATTTTGGATTTTTGCTTACAAGTGCGAGCCCATTGGTAGAATACCCGCTGTCGAACCTCCTTGAGAGAGGGATCAAAGAACGATACAGGCGCAATTGGGTTGCCGCCATCGTCTAATAACTCGCCTATTACTGTCATAATTGAACAGTTTGTAGAGAATGTGTGACTATGGGAAACTGCAGCTGAATCATATTAAAAGTTTAACAACTACACGAAGAATGCTCATCCGCTTGCGGCGTTGTAGATTTCCTCGGGGTTTATCCATTCTTGGAATGTGCCTTAACTCCGAAAATGAGATGATCTAATGACTTCTGGCGAATGAAAGCCACATATGTATACCAAGGTAAGTCTGCAGGGTTTTGTCAGCAAGATAAACTTGTAGCCGCGCTCTAAACATAAAAGACAAGAGTATTGCAGGAATTTTGTCCCTTAGAAACACGATATCCTAGACATTAACCATGGAGCTGGACCAGTCTCGACCGGTGTGCATCGTATTCTAATATTGTGAGCAAGCTTCCCAATGAAGTACTTCATCATTTAGTTTAATCAACCTGGCGCGTGGCGCGGAAATTGATCCCTAGTGTATCAGGCTACCCGCCATTGCGCGTCCTCGTTTCATCCAGCTGATCCTAGTCAGCTCGCGGGGCAACGTATGCGACGTAAAAGTTCGTTGCTGTAAAGTGAATGAGATAGTGTGCAGATTTTGTGACAGCTCAGATTTCACTATTTTCATAATATTTGTGTTGCATCGGCCACCGACACAACCCGCCTGAAAAGCACACAGACCAGCAATTGCCATGGATTAGAATCCCATCGACGAGCAAGTAACAGGAAAATAGCGCAAGGTTGAAAATATTGACGATCGTAAATTCATTTCATTTAATTTAAGGGTATCATTAAAAAGTCTATACATATCCTGTTCCACCGAGGGATCCCAATCGACCTTGCAGTGGACTTCAGAGTAAATTGCGCATAGGATCTAGGAGCCCGCCCGAGATCCTTCACTGTCTCAAACAGCGACATTCGAAAAAGAGGGTTGAAGATGTTCAGGCGCAGGTGACCTGGTATGAACCGTAGCGGCGTGTTGCTCCAGCTATGCGGCAAGTTTGAGTGGCATTGGCTTGGCTGGCGATGTCGGAGGGTTCGTTCTGATCGCACATGGTGTTATCGAACAACTCGATGCGGCAGCCTTCGGCGACAGAGTTCACTGTGTAGGCAGAGGCAACGCTGTGGAGATCGGCGCGACAGCCTGTGCTGCCAGATCCGACGTGAGGGTCACCGATCGTTCCGTTACATGAGGGTGACGGGAAAAGGGTGAAGGACCATTGAACCTCGCGGCTGATGAGGGGGAATGCGGAGGAGAAGTTGAAAAATAGAGTGGCGGCCAGGAGGCAGAGGCGAAGAGTAGAGACCATAGTGCCTTGAGAACGAATGTAGATTGTGGGTGTATTTGGTTAAGAAGGCTAGACAATTGTAGAAGCGCAAGTAGAAATGGAACAGAGGGTAGTCTTGTTCTTAAGGGTCTAGAAAGACTGACAGGGGAAATGTCCACAATTTATTATGGACCCACCAGTATTTAATTACGAATTTCCTTTTTTTTTAAGGAGAAACAATATTCGTGGATGTTTCAAAATGCCAAGCATTACGTTCAGGGCATCCCACACGTACAGAAAAGATACTTACTTTGACTTCGGCTGAACCCAGCCATGCATATTAATAAACCAGGAATTCATCCTCCGTCCGCGTACATATACTCCGTACACAATGTGGAAAACCCCGACAACGGGTTTTCATTCCTGATGATATCACCCCGAGTCGATTATCATTTAGTCCTATTTGGGTAAGTGTGGGGGGCTGGGACACCCATCTTACGCAGATGCGTACGTACTCTTCTCCAAGAACTCAGGCAATCTTACTGCATACCAGTTTCTTCTCTTGATATTCGTTCTATTTTGGTAAAACTATAGTACTCCGTACAGCTTGGTATAAACATGGCTGGATATCCAAAAATAAGGTGGCACAGGTGGCAACCATGCGGACCTCTCAGCCGACCAAAACAGGGTAAAGCAAAAAATAAAAATAAAGAAGAAATTTCTTATCGGATCGGCAGAGAACCCTTCGAATCTTCCAAGGTTCTTTTTGGCATATCCATGGTTCTGTATCGTTTATTCTCACCTTCCACATAACCTGTTATTAGGTAACTCGTAGAATATTTCAACTGAAACATAGTTGCACATCAGAAATATATACTTCAAACGTAAATTTACTAACCCGCAACTTTCGGT